AAGAAGACACGCAATTTGGAATCGTATGTTCAATGGTTCAATCGCCTCAGCTATTTGACGGCCAGCGAAATTGTTAAGGTGGGTGGAGTGGGTGGCCTGTGGTTACTGGGTGGGGCTTGGGGGAGATTAGGGAGTGCTTAAAATGATTGGATGCGCTGCTGGCAGGGGATGAAAATGTAAATGAAAATGATRCCCGGCCATAAACGTATGGAATTATGTTTACCCAGCGCAAAGCCATAAAAATGAAATTCAATTGCAAAAAGGCTAAAAAAGGAATAGTAAAAGAAAGAAATATGTGAAAATCAATAAGGATTTCTTCCTAAACAGCTAAGATGTTGGAATTGTCAAAAAATATGTATATATATAAATGAGTTAGGATGAATTAGAATCGGCTTAAATATGAGATATTTAAATATAGAATGAACAGCCCTTCTATGCGATTTTTATTTAGATTATAGCCAGTTTTTCTTAATGTTTCTTAGCCTATTTATAATGTTTATTCCTTTACTTTCACAGTATCCGAAGAAGAAGCAGCGCGTGCGTATTATCGAATACTGGATTGAGACGGCACGCGAGTGCTTCAACATTGGCAACTTCAACAGTCTGATGGCCATTATAGCTGGCCTAAATCTCGCGCCCATTGGCCGACTTAAAAAGACGGCAAGTTCTTGAAGAATTGCAAACTGCATTCAGCAAACGTCTAACTCGTTTTCTCCTCTTGCAGTGGTCTAAAGTGCAATCGGCAAAATTCTCCGTGCTGGAACATCAAATGGATCCAACATCGAATTTCAACAGTTATCGCTCGACGCTTAAAGCTGCAATGTGGCGCTCCGAGGGCGCCACAGAGGAACGCGAACGCATAATCATTCCATTTTTTAGTTTATTTGTTAAGGATTTATACTTTTTGAACGAAGGCTGCTCGAATCGGTAATTAGCTTAGCTAACTAAACGACAAGAGAAATCGAATTATCTATTCTCTTTAATTTCGCTTGCAGTTTGCCAAACAATCATATCAACTTTGAGAAATGCTCACAACTCGCCAAACAAGTGATGGAGTTCAATGAGTGGAAGAAAGTCATTTGTCCATTTGAGAAATTGCCGAATGTAATTGCCTACCTGCAGCATAATGCGGTGCTCAATGAGAATACGCTCGCGATTGCATCGTTTGAGTGTGAGCCGCCCGAGAATACTGAGGAGAAGGATCGCTACAAAACTGTGAAAGCCGAAACGAAGCAGCAATTGATGCAACAATTGCAGGAACAACAACAACAACAACAACAGCAACAACAACACCAACATCAGCAATAGTTGAATCTTAGCTATTTAGACTTTACACAGACTTAATTTAAGTTACGCTTAAGCGCTTGCCATGTTTTACTTTTTTTTGTAAACTTACTTTTTTACATAAGTCGATTATAAATTTTAAGACGAGAAAGTTGAGAATTGTTTAGGCTAAGCTCAGCAATTAGTTCAGACAAGACGCATGCGCCGCTGCCCCTTTTTAAGCTGGACAATGACTTTTAAAGTCAGTTGCCTTAACACTAAACAATCTAAACATCCCCAAATCTATATTCTGCAATTAACTGACTTTGGAAACGACCTAACTTAAATATTCTTCTCACCCAAACTGATTTCATTTCTATTTTCCAACTCAAAGTGGCGCATGTGCCATAAAAAAAAAAAAAAAAAAAAAAGAACGAAATATATTTTATGAAACGCGAAGCATCTCCAGAATGTTGCCAGTAATTAATTATTAATTAATTGAACTAAGCAAACATTAAAAATTAAGCAGATAAAGCGAAGCGAAACGAAATGAATGTATGTACTTAAAGCATTTAATTGCCGCAACTTATTTATATTCTMTATTTAATTTCAATTCATGTAATATTGGAAGGGAAAACAAATCATATTTATGTCGTATTATATATATATATATACTATGTCGATAATTTATTTTGACCACATATGACAAACTTGCGTGTATGCGTGTTATTTTGTAAGTGAACAGTATTTATATTTATATATTTACACAATTTTATAGCTAAATTAAATCAGTTTTAAATATTCGATTCATTCGACGACGCTTTTGTCTTTGAAGCTTCAACATTTATGAACAATTATTAGCCATGCAGCATAATTAACACAAAACAAACAAACAAACAAATGTTTTCTATCTACGTATAAGAGAAACAGCAACAACAAAAACAAAAAGTACACCTTGTGGTAGCTACAATGATGCTTATCCTTTTTAAGATTTAATTTTTATTCAAGGAAACTACAAATACAATATATAAGTATACAAACTTATATGATTCAAAAGAAAACAAAAATACAAAAACAATTATATATAGTATGGTATGTGTATGGATATCTCTACGATATTAACTATAAAGGGACTAAATCGACAAAACAAAATCCAACATATTCGATAAAAAAAATGCTTTGAATAAATCAACTGATCAAAAGCCATTCTCATAATACAACGTCTAAAATGTGTTTTAATTTATTAATATTCATATATATTTAGCCAGCATATTTGCTTTTGAATTCGAAATAGCGTTACGGCTCATTTTTAGGCATGCTACATGACAAAAGCTGCCTGCTGTGCATACCAAGTACGATAAACARCGCTGCCAGATGTGATAAAATTTGACTCGATAACTTTTTACCCCAAATACAGCCCCTACATCATATATGCACGCACACAAACKAATTCGCACACAGTGACAGACATAAGGGAATAGCGGCAACGGCATCGGCATTGGCGCTGTGCTTTATACGCGACGCGATTTTGTGGCGTGCAGACGTCTTGACGGTGAAAAGTAAATGAAAATTGAAGTCGGAAAAGCGCATACAACAATCTAATTGGAAACTGAACCGAGTACTAAAGTGCATCAAATTGAATTTCAATCGCGAAGTTGCTTGACTGCTTGATTGTGTGTATGTAATGTGTGACTGTATGTGTAAGTGAGAGCGTGTTTGACATTGTAAAGTGCAATTGCAATTTGATGAGTAATTGCGTGCGTGTGTGTGCGTTTGTTTGTTTGTGTTAATTACGTAGCAAGAGAGAGGTGAAAGGGTGCCGCCAAGGTTTTCCAACAAGCAGAGCAGGACGATTGTGTTGTGTAGTCAACGACTTGCGCCCAATTTGTTGCATTGGAGTGCAGCTAARACAAGAACCTGTTGTTGTAGTTGTTGTTATCGCTCGTAGTGGGGCAAAAACAAAGAGAACGCAGCGACAAGACGGAAAAATCGATTGTGCTCATTTTTGTTTTGGTTCATGTTCATATTGGTAAATGTGTGTGTGTTTGAATGTGTTTGCAAGTACGTGTGAATGTGGGAGTGTGTGTGTTTGTAAAATAGCAACRAAAGCAACGCGCGAACTGCAACAATAACAAATCAAGACGATAACCCGATAACAGTGTCCTTTCTCGTAGGACATTAACTGCACATGGCATGACTCATGCAACGCAGCCCATACAAATAAACAGCAACAATGAAAAATAATCAAAAGTATGCAAAATTGCCCCAAGATTTGGATCTGAGCTTTCAAAGTGATTTAGATTTGCTGCCGGACACAGCGGCCGATATCGATGTCGATGAGTTTAATTTGAGTGGCACGCCACCTGCTGGTTTAGTACTAAACGACGACGACGACGACGTCGACGCCGGCGCTGACGACGACGACGAAGACGACGAAATTGTTATTGCAGCGCAGGTGTTGGGTGGCGGCGGCGGCGGCGGCAACGGCAGCGGTGGCGGCAGCGGCGGTGGACTGCGTCTGGCCACACGTAAGCAGCGCAAACAGCGCAAGCAGCAGCAAGTGGAGCAGCGGTTGTACAACAACAAGAACAAGATCTGCGGACTCGGCAGTGATAGTGTTATCGAGGTAAGTCCACAACAATTATCGATAGCTAAGTTTTGATCAGTGCACTGCAGTGATCAAATTAGGCACAAAGTAAATTGTCAAGGGACAAAGACGACGTTCTTTATATAGAATAATAATTAAATTGTACACTAGCTAGTCCTTTAAAATATCCTCTTTTGCTACAATGAAATGTACACAAAAGCAAATTGCTTTTACAAATCACAATAGGAAATCTAAAGAAAAAACGAAAAATCGACAATGTTACACGGCAAGAAAATCGATAAGACAACAAAGAAACAAATATTCAAGCATTTGTAAAAGGTAAAGTTAGCGCACCTGAACCAAGAGTTCAGAAGTCGTTGCTATTGTTTAAATAGTTAGTCAAACTCAAACAAAGGTAAAGCGTTGCCAGACTTTAGCAATTCGAAGGGAAATCACGTTTAATGCGCTGATGTTAATGGATTTATGTTGTTCCCCAAGTCGTTTGACGGCGAGGCAAAAGCGTAATGACATCTACTTAAAATGTTTTTGTGAGGTCCACGGTTTTTACGTGTGCGTGGACATTTTGGGTGGCTGGGCTGGTGGGCTGCTTGGTTGGTTGGCCATGCGCTGAGGTTTATATAAGTTGGCTTTCGCGCCGCTTATCTTTAAAGCAGGTTGCATACACTGTG